TTTTGAAAATAAAAGTCAAAAGCAAGGCACATGACCAACACAGCCAATCAGGCGCAATTTGCCAGACGCGCCTAGGGCTCTCCGCCAATCGCACAACCTCTTACGTTATTTTACTAACACACACGTGTGTTAAGAAAATAATGCAATTCGCTCGATATTGTCAGCTTTCGTGGTATGTATATGTATATAGTCGTAAGAAAATAACTATTTCACACCACTTTTAATAGATTAGAAGTATGTTTTCAAGAGATGATTTTAATTTAATTTTATAAACGCTGAACACTTTGGTCTCAGATGAAAAACAACCTTGATTCATTAATAATGAAGATTGAAGAGCAAATCTCATCTGGGTTATTTCAGAATTGTAAAGTTAGCTCTGTTGCTTCAAGGTGACGTTGTCAGGGCTTGCCATAACTAATAACAGTTAATAAATAAGAAATGAATAATTTCACTTGATTGTTATTTGGGACATTTCGTATTATTTGAACTTGAAAGGTCACTAGACTGAAAAAATTGCAAGTTACACAAATAAGATCAATAGAGAATCATTCTTCACTCTAGCATGGATTTGCTTGAGTGTTGCGTAATCGTTTCGATTTAATTCTAGAGATGTGGTTTAGACGTGATCCGACTACAAATGTTGATTTAGTGTGATATGCAATTCTCCCTATTAAAGACAAAGTGAATGTAACCGTTGCAGTTTTCTTATCACTGGAATTAAAATAAAACCATTTGATATTTTCTCAACAATGAACATCAATAAAATTGCTCAACGTTAATAATAATTTGTCATTGTTGACTGACCTACATATTATTAAAATCCGCCGGTCATTTTTGCGCCTAATTAAAATGATTAATTTCCACTTGCAATAAAAGTTTCAACTAATAATACCATTGCCGAAAATCGGCAATTTTGGGCGTGCAGAAATAATAACGATAAATTTCGACTGCGCCTTTGCAATTTTAGCCCCAAATAATGGTTTAATTGTTTGTTAATGCGAACTCATAACTCATTGATCTCCCCATTGTGGGACGGGTCCAAGGTGAAGAGTTACAACATATGGCACAGTTTTGGGTAGAGTAGGTGGCGGTGTCTCACTCCGGGTCCGCGATTTGCCTCCGGCTGGGTTCGGTTACTGAACCGAGATTACTATACTAGACATTCGGGCACCGATAAGACAAGTAGTATTCTCTTGGTTTTGGCTCATGAGCTGGATTCAGGTCCAGTCCGGATTCAATGAAAACGAGGTTTTGCACGTTTTGTAATTCGTCGCTATCGGCAGTTTCAGTGAGCTTTTTTTTCATAGTCTCAGTTTATTTCATTAATACATTTCAAAAAAGCCCTACTTTTGCTCTTCTTCTAAACCATTAAAAAATTACATGAAATTAAGAGACTAAGTTACACGAGACAGGTCACCCTGACATTGAAAAAACACTCGTAATATTGAAGTTGTATTATTTTTCAGCGTGGTCACACGTGAAATGAAACCGCAAAACTTATACTGTCAATGGAATCCTGGATAAAAATATGTTTACCAAAAAAATTATAAATATTTTTCTTTTCATTTTGAAAGCCTGATTCTACATCATCTTTTAATTTTCAAAATTTTAAATTTTAGTTTATTTTTAAATTTCTTTAATTTTAATTATTTTTTTAATCTATCCC